GCATCGATGCCTCCCTAAACTCTTCTCTCTTACCCAGTTAATCTGGACAGGTTTCACTCACCACCATTTGCACTTTTCTTAGATCTCTGTCTATCATTTCGTAAGTCATACACCACCTGCTGCTAATCATGTGCTAGAACATAAGACATCCATAATCTTTGCTGCCTATCTTGCAAATTATCGGGGGTTTGAGGCACATATAATAAGCCTTATGACTGCATGATATAAGCCGTACACAAGGATTGTGTATAGCTTATCTCGTCTACTCATGAAGATGATGTGTCTGAGGCTAAATCTGTCTGGAACATTCTCGGCCGGTTTTTTATAGGATTTAATGCTAGAATATTCTCGGCAGGTTTTTATAGGAGTTGATTTCCTGTGAAAGAATTTCGTGATGGTGTTCCATAAGCCTCAAGGTCTTTAATCTCCCCGTAGCAGAAATCGGAAGCTTTTGGTGAGTCGGCTAATTTCTTCATGTGGTATAATTGTTTGCCTAAGAAGACATAATCAATTAGTCGCCCTGGTCGGATTACTAACAACAGGCTCTAAAGACCCGCCAAGACCACCTGTCATGTAAAGTGCAAAAGCGTCGCGAACCAGGAGAGCATCTGCCAATTCGGTCACCCTTTTTTCTAACCCCTTCTCTCATGGCGATACTACCAATCAACAATTCCTCGATATATCTCCCACATGGTAGGAGAAGATCTTCGCGTAAGACCACAAAATCAATTTCTCCGTAGTCTCTGTTCTCACTCGGGAAGCCTTGAGCCATCTGTGATCTGTGGTTTCGCGGTCTTTATTACACCAATTTCACTCACTACCCAGCCAGCTGTTACAATTAATACTAGCCTGAATGTGTGTGTTTATATTACAATAGCATTCATGTCGCCCCTGAGAACTTCCCGAGTTCGCCCCAATTCCTTCAGTTCAACTTTTTGTTATGTTAGTAAAATTTGAACCTGGGGTGGTGGATTAAAGCGAGATTTTCTGGCCTCGATCGAGGTTATTTGAAGTTTGTAGATGATGGGCACATCCCCATTCATCTAAGGCCAAGCTTTGAAGGGAACACCTTCAATTCGAGCATATGAACGTTGATACTCCCTATGTCCAAGAAAAAAGGGAACACCCCGAAGTGGCTATCATTAGATATTTCTACTTTTCAAAAAATTGATTTCATTCACTGAAAATTGTGTTTGAAGAAAGTGGGGACAAGTGGGGTCTCGGTAATAGGGGGAATAAAAAGCACGGTGCCCTTAAAGCACAGGTACGGGCTCGAGTCCCATCCGAAGCCGAAGTTTTCCCCATAACTCGTCAAGGCAACGAGGCTCGAGAGTGATTCCGTCAAGAGCCTGAGATGGTTGAAATGCAGATAGCCATTTAGTTTAACTGGATCTCGACTCTCATTATAGACATTCTTGCAGCCAGACGATTTTGAACCCTCTAGTTGAAAAGATTCTGCCTGACAATCTCGAAGTGCACTTTGGAAGAATTCAAGGTGAGTTCCACAGGAAAGTTCTCGAAAATCCTGATCACAACTCAGGCAAACTTGTTTGTAATGTAGGGGTCTTAATTAGAGGAACTTACTCTGTTCCCATCAATAGGATCCCATAATCCATACACATGGTTAATGTCGTTTGCAGAGCTAACGACTTGCCATTTGCTCGGATTTAACACTTTCGAGGCAATTAAATGAGGTTCGTAGTAATCGTCGTCCATGAAGAAGCGTCAATGATTACATTTCCAAAAGATGGTTTAAAACAAATATATCCATTCCTACGCCCCTCTCACCGTTCACAATGGCATGACAAATAGTTCTCACCCCTGACGAGCGACCCATTCTCATTGTTAGAACAACTTTTGATGAGGTTTTCTTTCTAATATGCCTCCAACTTCCAATGCTCCCTCTCTCCTTCCCCCATCCCCCTCAATTTACTTTCCCAGTTGCGATCGGCTTCTCTTCCTTTGGTTAATACATCCTCATCACAAGGGCTTCGATTTACGCACCCCTTCTGTTTTGTGTCAAATCACTTTCAGTTCACTGGGGAACTTCCAGTTCAAGCTCTCGTGCTCCGGTCATGTCAGGTATGCCTTGGCTACCATGCGCAGTTCTCTTACAGCATTTTCCTTGGAGGCCAACGTCTGCTTTTATTTCTTTCCTGGCCTCTGACCGTCTCGGAGATGAACTACCAACTTCCATTCCTAACTTTTTCCTTCGCTTTTAAAACGTATTTCTCGGCATCTTCGTGGGATTCGGTCGAAGCTCACCTCTAATTTGCTTTGGCTTTTCATTTTTCTGAAATCCCATTAGATCGTGTAGATTGCTCCTTTTCATGAAGTGACTCAGGAGAAGGTGGTGTGCGAAGAGTAAATACGAGTGTAACTTGCAAACGTTCGGAGGGAATCGCACCTCGAAACCCGTCCCTGTCTGTGTACTTCCCTTCTCATGCGCACCTCACCCCCCCCCCCCCCCCCCCCCCCCCTCCTCCCTCCTCCTTACAGAGGTCTTCGCACCTATCGTGCGCTTGCGCACCAACACCACCGTTCTTTGTTGTCTCTTTGTCGGCCGATGTGGTCGGGCACCACCGGGGCGCGATGTGAGCGCCAAGTACACCGCAAACGGCGTCGCGACGCGACGTCGCAGACTACCGTCGCGTCGCGACCGCATCGCGCTCCTCAGCGCAGCCGCTAATCGTTATTATATACCCATCTCTACTATGCTCTCTCTGGCGCACTCCTCCCGGTGTGTGTTCTGCATGCGAGGCCACACGCACGTCATCCATCGTGCGACATATGTTCGATCGTCAACACTATCTCGTCGTCGTCGTCGCCGCCGACGAAACCACTTGCCCGCGCCCGTATTACCCCTTCTGGACAATTATTTCATAAACGAATGACGTCACTAGGGTGGTTCCCAATAGGGATCATACGCTCAACACACCTCGTGACTGCATAGATCCATACGTTCCTCAACTTCACAGCCGGTTTTCGTGGAGACGTTTCGCAAACGCGTCGCGTAGCTGTTCGGATACGTCTCGTGACATTGTGACGATCACGTTAAGCAATTTTATGTGACTGTTTGTTTGTACACAATGTTGTTTTGATTAGGTTTTTCAAGGTCACGTAAACAGTTAACAGCTGGGCGGCTTGTTGGTGGACGTAATTTGTCGTTGTATTCCCAAATGTGCTATCAAATGGCGTTTGGTTGTTTTTGTCGTTTAGAAAGGACTGGAGTTATTTTCTTTCCGACCGAATTTCACACTTTTCGAAAATGATTCGAGTTAGTTTGGCGAATTTTATTCCTAGTAAGTACATGAACTGTCGATTGCAAATTCGCTATTTATAATCGTTTATTTGCTTGATTATTACTCTAATCTTTTAAATTTGTCTTTCGAAAACAATGAATTTGCAGGACTAAAAGTGTCCAACATTCCGAGTATAGTTTTTCTAAGATTATAATTCATTTAATTGGTGTAATTGGTGAATTTGCAGCCGATAGATTCCAGTAAATGGCAACTTTCTTTCAAACAATACCTCAATCATCTGTTTGGGTAAGCTTAAGGAAGCAAGGATTATCTGCTAAGTCAGTTGTGGGCAAACAAAAGATGAGGTACGCATCAGAAATCAAGACTATTGAACCCATTAGCTATTCAATTTAGTGGTGAAATGAATTGTCGGCAAAAGCAGGATCGATAGCCTTTTAGTGTTCCATATGAAAATGTGCCTGATACATGATTTTCGTAATCGATCAGAATTCATTTCCAAACCAAGTCGTTCTCGATTGGTAGAAATGTTCTTCTAGAATTCACTTCGTCTAGTTTATTCTTTTATTTCAGTCGTCTGCGAATTGAACTGCTGAGTGGTGGAGAGCCACGTTTGTATTGTTTTTTTTTCCGTTTTCGTTCCGTTTTTTCCGTTATTCCGTTTTTTTTTTCAGTTTTTGCAGCTTCACTGATATGTTGCCATTTACATGGCTTTAAATCTTTGGTGTACTTCTGGGTTAAGTTTTCGGCAGCGGCGTTCAATTTTCGTACTTTTCGTACATGAAAGTGCAATATTCGATTAAAACCGTTTTTGTTTCCTTCCCATCCGTCATATTATAGAGTTAATAGCTGAAAAGTTGGTATCCCTTATCAATTGTGCTTTTTTTTTCAGCCATCATTATCATTTATAACTTGTTGGCCAATGCCAATCTTCAACTTTGATGAAAATTTTCGATCAGTCTCACTTACACCATCGTAATAGGGGTAGTGTTAACCGTCAGTAAGTAATACTGAAATATACAGTGCTGGTTAGCAAGGTCCCGAAATAGTTGCTAAACCTCTAACTGTTCGGGTTCATTTTCAGGCAGGTTACTCTTGAATATCTTTGTAATTACGTAGTTTGAAATGTTTTTGAGATTCATGTGTTGCTTAGAAACCAGCAGATAGGTGGTTCCTTCGAGGTTTTACTGAGCCCTTTTGTTTTTCATAAATATGATATGTGCAAAAGCAGACGATCACGTGAATTTTTTCCTTTTGTGTGACTGTTTTTCCATATCCATTTGTTATTTTCAGATTGAATTGCTTATTGTCCGTTGAATACTGAAAGATAATTGAAACCTAAATGGCAATAGGTGTTATTACATGTTCTCGTTTGTGTCTATCAACATTTCTGTCGAGGAATCCTGTCATGGTTCACGTAGAAATGAATTTCCTGCTGCAATAGCAAAGTGGATTTGAGATTTTCGCGATTAGATTTGAGGTATCCTGAACTTAAACTGAAATTTTGCACTCTCTATGGAATCTTTAATCTAATATTTTTATCCGATTTCCAGTGTCGCTCCGCTCTTATTGAGTTAGTGCTTCTATTTTTCAAAATGATTCATTGTGTGTCGTTTGAAGCGTGATGACGTGAATACGCTCGTTTCTAATTCCCTTCAAATATCTCGTATTGGTTGTTTTCAGAAAAAATAAATTCGTCATGAACTTGCTTGACAAATGAGTTACGAGGCCGTACCATGTATGTTTCGAAGCTCAACGCAAAATGGCAACGGCGAAACACAATATCTTGGCCTACTAATTCGTCCTTCAGCCAACCAACCAAATCCACCACCTGTGAGTTGTTTTTGATCCATTCACTTCCGTTATGATGTTTTTGTTTACTTTACTTGAACAATTGCTATGTGGAAGCTGTAAACAAGAAAAAAGGAAATGAAATGGTGGATCGATTCATTGCCGAGTAGTTTCCATGATATGTATTGTACACGAGACGAGGAAGTTTTGAAATTTCAAAATTCAAACCTAAAATCTAGTTTATTTAACAAAACTCCGCAGTTCCTCAGATTTTTTCTGGGATTTTTGATATTATCCCAATTTTCTGTTCGGATATTTGCTTCCTGCTCTAATAATGCTATCAACCCTGCTTTGAAAGGTGTTTTTTTAAAGTTAAATCTTCAAATTACTTAATTTTTTGCGATGTCTTTAATTTTACTCTCTTTGGATGGCTAAGCTCGATTTAGAAATGTTTAATATTACTTATGGCAAATTGCGGTAATATTATTCATTATTTATGTATTTGCAAGATTGTATTAGCTTTTTCAAGTTTTGTAGTCCGTAGTCATGAGTCAAAGAGCGACAGGATTTTTTTTGTCGCGGTTTCTACATACAGCTGTTGTCATAAACCCCCTAAACATGGCGAATAATCCCGTCAATAATAAGAAAAAGTAGCATGATGTAGTTATTATGCATTGTATCTGGAAATTCCGCTGGAAGGCATTCACACTCAGTTACTTAAAGATCCATTTGAAGAAATCCTCATTACACTGATTGTAAAATAACCAGACTTTTTTGATTTATTATTATTGTTTCTATTTGCAGGGAACACCAGCCGGTGCGATTGGTCGGACTAGTAATGGTCAGCCAGTGTCAACCCTAACACCTACAGCGAATGCTGTCAAAGGACCACAGCCGTTGCTTGTTCAAGGAGTTTATCCTCAGGGTGGTCCTATTGTGGTTCAAGGTGATACTCCCAAGGTATGTGTGTTGTGAACTGCTTCTTTTTTTTTTTTTTTTTTTTTTTTTTTTTTGAGAATTTGGATATTTCCGAAAGGAAAGATAAGGTAGTAAGCAGAAGATTGATTATCTAATCAGATTACCGATATATGGTCTTCATGTGCATTTTATTCCCTAAGTGCGCTGAAATGTTGAAGTGCCATTTTTGTGAGCAGTTTTTGCTTGTTTTCAATATTTGTTGCCTATTGCCGTTTTCGAGCTTCTAGTGAAAGTGAATACCGACGAATTTCGCTTGAAAAGAGCTCATTTATTATTATTTTGATAACTTTGGTAGGGTAGACATCAGAAATGAGGTTTCCAATCTATACCCAGTTATGTAGTATTTCCCTCCCAGTGTTGCTACAGATTTTCTCGTGGAATTGTTGATTTCATTTCTTATTAACGAGAATAAGATGGGAAAATTGATTTATATTCATGACGTTCTTCATTTTTCCTTTACACCAGTGTTTTCAGGTCCTTGTCCCAGCTAAAGTCCAGGTTCGGCTACAACAAGGTGGAGATGCTTCCGTTGCAATTTCACCGACAGCCATCCCTTCATCGACGTTACCGATGTCGACGTCAACGATAGGATGGTCACAGGCTGCACCACTGAAAACTGCTTTCGCTTCATCTGGGCACAACGTCATCTCTAGTCCGTGCAATTCGCAGGTAATTTGTACTTAATTTCCTGGTCGGGTGAGCTTTACTCTCGTCGGTTTCCGGCTTTTACCATTCGATGCAAACTGTGATTGTAAAACAGAACAGTAATCACCTCCTAGTATACTTGTACTTTACGATTAATGCTATTATAGTGCAGGATATCAAACATGAGTGATACATTTTGAAGTTAATCTTTTGGGCTGTATATTTGATTGAGATTTGAGAAAACGACTTGATTGCTGGTGCAATTACACATAAAAACTCAAAAGGCGCTCTTTCAGCATCGCAGTTTATCAGTTTGCTCAGTATCGCCACAGCTGGATTCGTCGCCGATGTCTCCATTACCTAACATCATTCAATATCATAACCATACTACACCGTCGACGACCAGAGTTGGTTTACAGGTACTGCGCATGCCTGGTTTTCAAGAGCTTGTTCAGTTTTAACATTCTGCTCCGTCTCGTTTACCTTCGTATACTTAGGCTGATCCTCGATCAACTCGTGTAACAGGGACTGGTCAGTGGGCAGCACCAGTCAGTGATTCTTCGACTACTCCGGATTCTGGGATTCAGTCCGTTCCCGGTTCACCTCCCAGTAGTCATCCACTGACGCCTCCAACGGTATAGCTTTTTGAACTGCTTGGTTTCTTTGATAGTTGTTATAGGTAGTTCTGTCATTTTCCGTAAATTATATAGTTGTTATGGGTAGTTTTGTCTTTTCTCGTAAAAGGATTAGGTATAGGAGGACTATTTTAGACCACAACTTACGCAGTAACTCTTTAAGATTGTCTTCTTACAATAATCTTGGATTTAGGCACTAGAGCTTCTACGGATAGATCGCATTTGTTATATTGAATGTCCTTATCGCCTTAGAGCCTCTGTTACGCCCATCTTTCTAATTCTTCGTTACTATTCGGTGGTACGTGGCTAAGTCTATGAATTGCCATCCCAAGTCGTAGTCTTTCATCATCACAGCCACAAGTTTTGAGGTAGTATTCCATTTAAGCTGTAATTGGTTATTTAGGTGAGAAATAGCTTCCACTCCCTTCTGAGCAATCGAGTTGTACAATTGGGGGCTTTCCATCCTTCATCTTTGACCAGCCTACGAGTTTAACGAAACCATGTAGTTATATACATAGTGTTGAACGCGAAGGAATTATTATGTGAACAGAGTTATTTCTTAAGTGTCGTTGTATCCATATTTGGCTTAGAGTAGTACCCATTTGATGTAGTAGTTAGGTAACAGGTGAGTTTCAAAAGCATTACTTCACCATTTACGATCATCCCTATCCTAAATTACCGTTTTTTGATTTTTCTATGAAATCATGAATAATCAAAATAATCGCCTTTCTAGAAGGCAGACTAATCTATGATTGCTTTTTTCAGATGCAATTGGAAGGATGCGATTCAGTTTGTGAAGAGAGATGCGACAATGACGAAGATTTTGCGGATATGCCACGCCTGCTTCCTGTCGATCAAGAGGAGGCACAATGTAGCAATAGGTAATTGTCCTTCTTCACTTTGATTTTCGCTACATTTTGAAGTTTCCGCAACAACATTTCTCTTACAAGATGGGGTTTGTTCTGATTTTTAGCTTGTTACTTACATTTCTCAGTTGTCATTTCATACAGAATATCCTGTCTTGAAAAGGTTGTGGGGTATTTCCCTCCTTGGATTCTTATTTTTCTGTTTGGTCTACACTTTTCGCGGTGTCAATAAAAAAGGAACGATTTTCATGGAAATCTAATGTTAGGAAAGCCTTTATGGGAAGAGAACCTCTGAAGTTCCCGGAATGATCTTGAATGTGTCGACATGTCTATTTTAATAATTTTGCACTCTTGAGCTTTCGTCATTTAGGTATTTTCTTTCCAACAGCTATTTTTCTTAATCGAAGACACTTTCAGCTGCTTGTCAGTACGTGAGGACGTGTCATCGTCACACGGTTCAGAATGTGAGACTGCACCGACGCCATCGATTTCGATCACACCCACCATGGATTCTAAGGATATCGTTGAGCAGCTTCTCATGCTTGATCCCGAAAAGGCAAATGCGATTGCGAACCTTATAAAGAGGAGGCAGAGCAGCAAACGGAGGAGTAGTAGCAAGCAGGTATCGCGTTGTTATATTTAGGCTATTCATTTTTATTGGGTTTTGTTAGGTTTCTGAGCTAGATTCGCCAAATACGGCTTTAAGTTCAACGGGAATTAATACGGAACCAATGTTTATCGTTATATCCGAGTCATTTCGTCAACCTTGCCTTTGGCGGGGATCCCAGTCACGCTGTAGAGCAGTGAAGGATCAGGGAGGTCGAAACTGCAAGTCGTGATGTTATCAAAATCACACTTCAATATTTTTTTCGGCATACACAGTGTCACGGTTTTTTTTTTTGATTCGGCGGTGGAAATATACTCTAAATAACGAGTTTTCAGGAGAACGGGCATAAGCGCGGACGACCGACGAGCTCGGCTAGTGAAGATCTAAAGAAAAGCGAAGAAGAGCCGACCCTCAGTACACGCGTGGCAACACGAAGCACGTCTCGAGCATCTCAAAAGGATAGTGGGCGAGCATCGAGCACGAATATGACGAAGCTGGACGTATCACCATCCTGCACGGACGATTCCAAAGAGATGGGATCTCAAGAAATATCCCCTGTGCCCAGTGAGCAGGTCTGCTCTGAATCGCCATCGTCTGAGGAACGCAGAAGCACGTCTGCAATCCATAATTCATACGATTTGGAGATGCGCAAAGTGTATCGGGATGCAATCAAAAGAATGATGAAGGAGAAGGTAAGAACTTAGTATTTTTTTAGGTGTACGTGGGTTAATAATAGATTATATTAATTTCAGCTGGCATCTCTTCTTGAAGCGACTGTTGTGGATATGCAAGGTTTGCATATCGGATTACGTGAAAGGCATGATCGACGGCACAGTAAAGATCGAAAAAACCTGTGGGCGGTGAACTGGGAGCAAGTGCGGAAACGAAGAAGAAAAGAGGAAGATCGAAAACGAGCTGCTGAAAGAACTGAGCGTAAGAGAGAGGTAGTCTCGAAGAGCAAGGACAGAGATTATTGCAAAAGGGAACTACGTGAGAAGGTCGTCGACTCCGACGTGTCCCGATCAGAGCCTAACGTTGAACGTCGGTCGCGTAAGAGACGCAACGATAGTTTGGAGAAGGAGAAGGAGAGGGAAGAACCCAGGACGTAAGTACTATGTTTTTTATTTTTCTTCTTTATGATCGCTGAGAAAGAAGATTGTGGGGTTGTAGAACCTCCATTGGTACTAGGGTAAAAATCTTCTGTCGTGAAAGCAGGGTTATTTTCAGTTTTTATTGCACTCGGTCGGTCACATAGCCCAAACAGTGCAGCGGCGCGACCGCGCGCCTCATTTTCGTCTGAATCCGCCAACTCAGTGTGTAGTGAGGGTAGGACCGCTACCGGAAGACTGCGCTAGGACATTTGAAATACTCTGCGCTTAAAATAAGTGAAAGCATTACGAAATATGATGTTGTAGGGAAACTTCATAAGGTCCGTTTCATGCATTCATTATAGTATTTGTCTCATTGGGAAGCTCAATTGATACCGAGCAAGCGAGAAAAAGAATACGACGTCGGCTCTAGATAATTCTCAAAATTGCAGGCGTTCGGCCCATTCAACTCCAGCGAAAAGGCTCGGCTGTTGCGATACGCCCACTCCGAGCAAGCGAGAGAAAGAATACGAAGATATTTCTAGAAGTAAGTGACCGGTGACGATTACAGCGTTTTGTTGGGCCTTCCACATTTGATATGAATCTTTTCTTTAGGTGTAGGCGTTGGTTCACTACCTGAGTGGGATTCTCCAGTGTTGTCATGCGGTTGTACACGTGGAGCATGTACGTCGGATTCAGAATGTGTTAATCGTGCCCTCTGCGTTCAATGTCCATCAGCGTGTGCGGCTCCGTTATGCGCAAATAAGGTAGTAGTGTCATGCCGCTTTGACTTTTTTTTTGAAGCTCCTATTTTCATTTAATATCGACTTGTTTTGCAGAAGTTCTGGAAAGATGATGCATTGAAGTCGTTGGTCGTGAGCGGTGCAAAGACTCGAAAGATTCTTCGGACGAAGCAAGCCAGACGAGCTGGCGACTTTTTGGTATGTTTTCGTTGTAGCATAACTACTTTGATTGTAATCTCATACAAAAGACTTATTCGGGAATTTTTGAGTTCAAGTTGAGTTGAGTTTGACACTTTTCTATTTCAGTGCGAATTTGCTGGGGAAGTGGTACGTTACGAAGACGCAAAACAACGGTGGGAGACGTACTCGAAAACTGAAACGACACCTGTGATTCTGTGCTTGACGTCTCGTCTATTCGTCGATGCCACCATCCGCGGGAATGTCTCACGTTATGTACGACAGTCGTGCCGACCCAATGCAAGGCTGGAAGTGTGGTATGTTCTTATGGCACGTGTACTGTACTTCAACTTCCCATCTACATGCTACCGTATTTCTATCTCTACTCTTTTTTTCTGCTCACTTTATTTTTTTGATTTCACGGTTACCGTAAGTTCGAATTTCAGGTCAGTGAACGGTAAATATCGTGCAGGATTGTTCTCTCTTGGTGACATTACATCAGGAGCAGAAATCACTATCGACATGAACGGCTTATTGCCAGTGAGCCGAAACTGTCACTGCGGTGTGATCGACTGTCGCAAACGGCTTGTTATGGCTCGTAATCCGGTAGGAGTTTGGCTCTTTCTCTCTCTTTCCTTTGTTTTTAATCATTCTCTCTTTTTGTCTGGAGCTCCTCTTGAAGACATTCGCTTTTTCGACAAGTTCTCTCAATTCCAGCCAATCGTCTCAGCAAGTGATCTCTCCATTAATGAGGAGCGCATTGTCCGTGAACATCACTTATTTTTGATCCGAAACAGGCAGCAATGCGTTAGTCGGGCCGGTGCCCACGGTAAGTTGTCGTTATTGCCTATCCTTCTTTTAATTGTCGAAAATGAGTCAGTAATGCGCTTTACAAAGTTTCCTTCTGATCTTGTGAAAAGCACGCTGCAGGGAGCGAAACAAGCATCTCTCTTTGGATGAAATTTGATTAAATGTCTGTTCATAAGGCCACATTATTTACATTCGCAAATACTGGATTAAATTTGCAGGTTTGGTTGGATCATTTGGGCCGCCTACGTCGCAAATAGAAGGTCTGCGGACTGTGCTCAAGGGAATTGTTTACCGGTATGTACTCTGACTTTTTTCTTTCGTTTTGTTTGGTTTTGCACTTTGGATCGTATTTATCGTGGGCAGTCTGTGCTGGTTAACCTCAAGTACTATGAGTACGTATGTTCGTTGGGTTGATACAGGAGAAGTGTGTGGCGTAGTTAGAGAGTAATCCAGGCAAGTTGGAAGAAGTTTTAATTAGTTAGTAAGGCTTAGTGAGCCTAAATGCTTACCAGCGAAAGCATTAAACATTTTATAATGAATTCGGCATGAGCAAAGTGTACGAGATGTGAAAGGGGTATGAGCTGAATCAGCGATTTCATTTCACCTGTTCCTGTTTCAATGGTGCTTGCATAAGATTTAGCACACGATGTGACTGTTTTTATGTGCAAAATCATCTGTTTGATAATATTAGGTCATCTCATTCAAAAGATCGCAGACATCGAGAGGGATGGCGGGATTAGGAAGGAGACTTCCACCATCCACAGTGTTTTGATCAGAAGCGTGTACCGACAGCTACGACACTGCCCGATTTCGGCATCATGGCTGCAGCAGAACTTATTGACAATTCGAAAAGAAGTACTACCGAGCAGGATGAACGCGAAATTATCAAATGGGGCGCTATACAAGGAGAATCCGCCGCTCAAATTCATCGTGAGCTCAATCAACAAATGGACAGGACGGAGTGCTTCAAGCGTAATGTGCAGTAATGGGTGCGAATGTTCAAAGAAGGAAGAACGGAGACAAGTGAAGGCCGAGGTGGTGCTTACAATGTTCACTCCATACACGAAGAACGAGTAGCTGAAATCAAGCGTCGAAAGGCTGAGCGCAGAGACTGCACCATTGCCGAACTTGCCCGCGAGACCGGCATTCCTGCTACTACCGTTGGCCGAGTTGTATCCAAAGAATTGAAGATGGTCAAGAAGATGTGTGTATTGGTACCTCATTTACTTACAGAAGCACAGGTCCGAAACCGAATTGATGCCTGTAGAAACAATCTTCTCCGCCACCGACGTCACCCACGACTCTGAAACGAACGTTGGCTATAGATGAAACATGGGTGGGTTTGTACACTGAGCCCGAAAGTCACAAGCGTCGGGTTCGGATGGACGCCGATGAGGAACCGCCTGAATTGGTTCATAAAGAGTCACGTGGTTCCAAGTGGATGCTCATTATGGCAATGGATTTCTGGGGCGTGGCGTTCTGGCGACTCTGTTCTAAAGAAATGACCGTCACTTCTGAAGTGTATTGCCAGTTTCTCGACGATAATACCGACAATTGCATGGCATTACACAACTTCAAAAGGGCAATTATCGCTCATGACAATGCCAAGCCCCACCCATCTCGAATTGTGCAGCAGTTTTTTGAAGAAAAGGTGGTTGAAACCTGGATGCAACCGCCGTATTCTGCCGAGCTCCAACCGTGCGACTTCAACTGGTTCGGTCAAATGGAGACACGTCGCAGTGGCAAATGCCTTGACAACTGGTCGATCGCCGAGATGGACATCAACAGCATTTTATCTGCACATGTTGAAGGAAAGAAGCTACTTGGTGTCCATGTGCTACCTGGACGCTGGGAGAGGGTCGTCAACAATGATGGAGCCTACCCGACAGAACACTAGAATATTAGCTTTTTATCTTGTTTGCTGTTCATTTTATTCGAATAAAAGCTTGCGAATTTTTGAATGAGATGACCTAATATTTACTAGGCAATACTTCAGAGTGCGTCGGGTTGATGGCCGTCTGCCACTGAAAGCGCTACCAGGCTACCACCGGGTCAATCGACTACTTCGGAGTGTTGAACGGCGGCGAACCCAACTGAGCAAGTCGGAACTTTCGGCAGCTTTTGACTTCGAAATGGGGCGGTGGTTGGATCAGTTAGCTGATGAAGATTTTGAGCGTGCTTATACGTAAGTTTGCTATGATTTTCCTTGTACTCATAAGGTTTACTTTTATGTTGTAATCTTAGGGCTCTACGTGGTCGATATCTCAGCGAATTTGGAAAGCAGGAAAAAGACGAAAAACCGAAAAGAGATCGCAGAAGAGAGGCTCGGTTCGTGAATCGAGACACGAACCTTGAGTATATCGACTCCGATGTTCGAGTGGGTACCATAATCACATTTCCGAAAATTTCACGAATTTTCTACTCCTGTTGTACTGGAAAGTTTATCTCCTGCCTCCGATTTGCTTCTATTTATATTACGTGATATTCAGGTTGGCGGTTACGATCCAGATAAAGCGTGGCCACTGGGAAAGGCAAACGAAAAGGATGATGCGGTCGGTTCTAAGTGTTGCTTGACATCCCTTCGTTCAGAGAATCATTTGAAATTCATTTTTTGTTGTGGTGAATCATGGTTATTCTTAACTGTGGGTAGCCTTAGTGCACCAGGACACTTTGGGCACCAAAATGAATAGCTAAAAATCTGCTTTTTGAACTTTTGATCCGCTAGTCATGATTATTGCAACTGTTCGCGTGAAAACCTCTTTGATGCCTTAAAGCGATGGCGCCAAAGGCATGATCCTCGGGATCTTTGAACTCTAAGGATTCCATATTCATGTCCTATAAGTGAGCCTTATCAAAAAGCTAGTTTCCAGCAAGTTCCATAGTCCAAGAAGTTTGCCCACGAGTCAGTGACTTTATGCGTAATCAATAATAGTGTATCGAAAAAAGAAAAGAGTAAATGATGCAAATTTCATTTGTCGTTTCCATTTTTCATACAAAATCATTAAAAACGGCTGCAGGTACGATGTGTCTGTGGATCATTGGAAGAGGATGGTGAGATGACACAGTGCGATACCTGCAACTTTTGGCTGCACAGCGAATGTCTTGATACGCGAGATGTTGACCAGGAAACTGTAAGTCGAGTTTGCTAACTGATAATTTGCAATTAGAAAAGCGTTTGAGGTTTTGTTTTTTTGCTTTACTCGGGTGACTGGAACGAGGACATTCATGAGCTTAAGGTGTCATTTTTATTGTAATTCTTAGTTATGCTGTATCCCGGATGTAACCGTTCCCAAGGCTCCTATAATCGTTCAGTTTTCCTCATTTTTTCCTTCAAGCGCGAGGCAAATTGATGTTTTCTGGTAGGAAATACATAGGTTGAAGTGATAAGTTTTACTCGAATAGGTCAATCGTGAATGCCTTGTATTTGCTTCCAGAAAAGCGTTGCTCTTTTGATAGTGTGGGAAAAACTAAATTACTAAAGAGCGGTTTAAAGTTTCGAAAAATCAGACCGAAGTGTTTGGTTCTATTTTGTTCATGTTAGGCTTTTATTATTTCCATTGTTCTGATTCTATTCGTCACGTTATTGCAGGAATATAAGTGCCAGTTTTGTCGTGGCGCTATAAGCGGTGGGCGTCCATGCAGTGATGTCATTCTTGCAAAACAGCCGGAAATACGGTTATACGGCTGCAGCTACTACAAAGTAAGACATTTTGCATTTGGTCAAGACCTTTCATCTGCTATATAACCATTCGTAGTCAGGTTTTATATGTTTCCGCTAATGCCATGATAAAATTCACGGTTTTAGGCTCTCACCAACAATCGTTCTATCCAAGTTCGTCTCAATGAGACCGTTCACGTACAAAGAGCCATCAAAGACGACGTGAGTTGTTTGTAGGATATTTCTTTCAGTAATTAAACCACGAATCTCATAATTTTCTTTATATTCAGCATAAGAAGATTCTCAAAAAACTGATGGATGTGAACGAAAAGAGGAAGAAAAATGGTGATGATGGAGAGGAAAAGTTTGAGGACATTCCCGAAGCGGCTCAAGATCGCCTCCCCTTGGAAACATTCCATCGAAAGGTACGTTCTCATGTCTTGCCTAATCGTGATTTATTAATAAAACCGTTCATTTTTTGTAGTGAAATAACTGTTGTTAATAATCACTTCTAGGATTTGCGAGTGTTCCGAGTGGAACGACTTTTCTGTGCTCCTGGTGGCCACCGTTTCGTGTTCGGTTTCTATTATGCTCGACCTCATGAGACTTTTTGTGATTCACAGCGGATTTTCCATAGAAACGAGGTGAGGTGCAATTTCCAAATTGTTTGTGACTTTTATTCCTAATTTGTTTTCTTTGAAAAGGAATCGCGAACCAACAATTTATTCATTAGTTTTGTTATTACTTTAGGTTTTCTCTACTCCGTTATACGACACACTTCCTCTTGATGCCGTAGTTGGACGATGCGCTGTATTGGATCCTTCAACTTGGTGTGCTGGTAGACCGACTGTGCCAGAGTACAGGGTGCGTCATTCTAGCCGTATATGTGTGTTCTTGAGTTTGAAAATTATTTTCATTATTTTCTTTCGAATCGTCGAAGTGCAGTGTAATTAATATGTGTTCTCTGCTGAATATAATAGTCGAGCTGAAGGGCGCCAGTAAATAGTTTGCTTGTTTATCGTTTTTCCTATGGTTCTTAGAAATCAGGCCTCTCAGCCAACAGACGGTGTTCAAATATTGTATGTCTTATCCGGTTGTAGTTGAATGAAGGGAAATATCGGAGTAACTGGGTTCCTACTCTTGTCTGGAATTGTTCTTGCTTCAACAGCTACAGAGATAAAGTAGCACTACGCAAGCAACGTAAATGAATGGGTAAGGGCCACAGCAATATGCATCCGCTATTCCCTTTTGCGTCCTCTCACATTAAGCCCCTTGTTGAGACTGCTGCTATTCAAGACGATTACATTTTGAATCACAAGTCCCAACTTTTTTGATCGACCTCATGAATGATTTTGCAGGAGGAGGACGTCTACCTTTGCGAATATCAAATTGATCGGAATCAACGTAGTTTCGAGAAAATACCAAGCAAAAATCGATACCCGATCAATACGCAACCTTACGTGTTTCGGAAGTTTGACGAGCCTATCACTATCAAAAGAGATTTCACGGTAAGCTGTGTTTTTCTGAAATTCACTTGTTTGTTTTTTGAAGGTTTCCTCTGGTTTCTGAAGTTCTCAGAGCAATATTTAAGCCGTTCATCGTCGATCCATCATTATCTCAGTCGAAATCCTCATTGAAAGGTGATAAAGACGCTAGCGATGTGGTTGGTTCTAAGCGATTGGTGAGTTTACTATACTGCTTTTGTTCATCACCTTCATTATATTCATCTGTTGTTCCACTGAAGGCTTATTCGCACTTTGCCTGCTGAGCATTACTTATTTCGATTTTTTGGTTCCTACCATACCACATCTTCATTCATCATATTCGCATTTCCCACAATTTCATTTTTTTTTTCACACATTCATCCTTCTTTTTCCCTTTTTCGATTCTTTACTTCATCGCCACATTGTTTCAGTTATTGCAATTGATGTGTATATCGTTTAGATGATGGATAATCTCACTGCTATCGTTGAAAGGCTCAAATCTCCATCAAAAACCCTCCCGAGAAAGGTCCATGTAGAGGAGGAAAAGAAGCGAAGGCGTCCTCGAAAGCAGTGCAGAAGCACCAAATCACCGAGTGAGTAGGCCATGCATGTGACAAGCAACCAGGTGGCAAGTTTGTGATATGGAATTGATGCTGATTGCCAGCTCTCAGTTCTCCTGTCCCGGTTTTTTTTTTGATTCAGTCGAAATTTTGCATTTTGTATTCTCGAGGTATATCATAGAACGCTTCAGTTCAGTTGAAAAAAAGAAGTTCATTAGACGTTCTCCTTCCAGTTGTTATTTCATTTCAACCTTTGTATTGAAGATGGTATATTTTGCATATAGCATTAACATTTTGCCTAACCAATTTTAATGGTACCCTTTCAACGTACCCTCCTTTCCGTATATAACTGCTGTTGAAGTAAGCGGCAGTGAACAGATATGACGCGCCTAGCGCGTTTCTCTCACCTTCTATGAAGTCCCTTTTTGTATACCTTTGTTGTTATCAGAAAACACCTCAATCACTCACCACTGCATTCTCATTCAGCCAAAAACCTCCACCATCAAAATTTGTTTTATGATGTCTCGATGATAGTATTATATGTTGACCGTAGTCGCATGAGAGCCAAATTTATCACATTTATCTACCGAGTATCTGTTACTGTACAAAATACCCTCATCTCTCTCCTCTCCTGTGTTCTTGTGGAGTGTATCTACTTTACGGATGTGCGCAAATGTGTAGAACCGAGCCGATAGAATTTTTACCCAGCAAAACTTACTGATTATTGTCAATTGTTAGTAAGTTTTCAACTCTTTCGGTCTCAGTTGGGGTTTGATCTTGCGTCGGACATATCAACGGAGCAGTGGCTCAGTCGCCAGAGGTGCTCTGCGTACTAGCATTGCTCGCAAGCCGGAGTTCCGCAGAAGGGGTGGGAATTGGAAGTTGTGTGGCCTAGTTCTTGTAAACGGTTCAGCGTCGATTAAGCAGCCTCTCAGTTGCAGGTAGCCAAAATATGTCATTATATGACTTGCATTTCCAATATTTGCATAATATGACATTTATTTTAAGTATTATAAATGATTGAATGTTTGATATTATCGGTAAGGACACCAAGTCAATCGCATTTTGCCAGAAGATCGGTCTGGTTCCATACATTCGCGTTGCACATCTTGGCATTTAAGCAGCTTTGTCGCTTTTGTTAGAAATATAGTGCCTGTGTGTGTCGTTGATGTTTAATGTTTTCTCATGCATTGACTATGCTTGACTGCAGTTCCATTTACGATACGGATATGAATGATGGTGTTACTTGATAATCGTTACTACAAGATATCTATGTGTGTATGGACATAGAGTTTTACGTACCTACGAAATAAACATATTGTTAAACTAGTTTTGTGTACATTTTTAGTGTTCTCATGTCGTTTACATAGCATATTTGGGTTCTTCGCGGACAAAAAGACAAGGCTTACGAGCTGAAATCTTTGTTCCATCCTTTCAACATCTTGGCCAAAGTATTTTTAGAAACTCATTAGCTGAGATTCGGCGTTCCGTTATTCTATTGTTAGTGTCGTTTATTGTTTTTTACTTTTCCCGTTATTTTCCAAAAATAAGTGAGAAACTATTGCTATTTACGATGCGAACAGAAGTGAAGGCATAATTGACAATAGGAATGATTTGTGAAATTTTTGTCTGGGATAAACCTGTGACCCTCAAGAGGAGCACAAGGGATCGCTACCAGGTGGAACAAAACAAACTGACCAAGGTGGACGAGTTGCGGCGTAGAGACTGTAAAGGTGTCAAAGCTGTCGACTTTTGAAACCTGTAAAATAAAAAGAAAACTGGAGATTCTTACCTGAACATCGAGAGCGAAGGAGCGGGAGTGGTGAAGAAATGCTCTTCCAGGAGGAACAGTATGCAGGCTACTGCTTACTCTTCTCAATAGAAATTTTTCATTGGTGTTTGTTTGTCATAAATGTTTTATTCTTCCCACTCCCAACTTCTTGCACAAGGTAATCATTTCACCCACGTGTGACGGTACTGCAAAGCCGACTATCTCTCTTTCTCTGCGCTCTGGCGGTAATTTTTAGAGACGAAGGGTGGTCCCTTACTATGAACTAAGAAAAATTTTCGTCCAGAACCATTTTTTATTTGAAAAAAAAGTAGTCGAGCTCAACGAAAAGACTGGTTTCCTCGAAAGTTGCTTGACTTGTAATAAAGGGAATTCTGGGAAACAGCAGCCCAGTATTTCTGCTTTTCACATCATTTACCGACTTGTATGACACAAGCTTGGGTTTGGAGTATTTTTATGTCCACAGTATGTGTCCACATCAACTCACCTAGAGACCGCTGCCGGCAGGCTGAGTGGTCTAGTGGTATGATTCTCGCTTAGGGTGCGAGAGGTCCCGGGATCGATCCCCGGCTCAGCCCAACTTTTGCATTACACACTTGGAGGTGCTCACACTTCTCAAAATGGCTCCTTTTGCTTTGTTCAAGCGTAAAAGCTGGGTTTAGGAGTCGAAGAGTACGAGATAGAGAATAAGAGAATCGAATACTTCAAACGAACATGGCTTTGAAAGTCTTTGATCAATAACCGCCAAACACTAATAAATCAATAAGGCAATGGTAATAAAGTGGTAGTCAATCGATAAACGAAAGTGCAAAGCCCGACAAATTCCTGCATAAACACTTCAAGCTCTACATCCTTAACAAAGTCTTAGTGACCCTCCGTAGTGAACGAAACTGAAGGCCTGTGAAAGGATTGTGTTAGGTTGGAACGGCAAGCAGTTAAAGCAGGTTAACAAGGCAAACAGGAGATATTAGCGAATTGGTGGAGTATCAAGTAGAAAAATCTCTTGGCACCTTCTACTCGCTTATCAGAAAGGAAGAGTCCTACTGAGGGTCAAAATCCGTTTGGGTTTTCTTCACTGGACCACTCGACCGTATTTTTTTTCATTTCTCACCCACACTCGTGTAACGTATAACTTCCTTTTGGATCCCTATTCAGATGGGTAGGAGCTACAGAAGTGTGACAGTGAGGAAGCAATAAGTCAGGCACAAAACGAGGTGCTACGTTTTGGAGACCTATCACTTCTTCGGTGGGATTTTGATGGCACTTTATCTCAAAGAATTGGTGCGTACAAAAACATCTACTGTTACTCTGTTAGGCTCTAACTGTTAGAAATTAGAAAAAAGTTCAATTCGTCTTTGATTTTTCATGGCTTGGGCGGTCCGAACCTGAAATTGCGCCTCAGTCCTAATATTGCGCTTGTAAGTCTAGCTGAAAGGGTCTCATCAAAATGCATCAAGTGCGCCAAGTATTTTATATCGAGCGTTTTTTCAAACTATTACACGCAGTTAAGTAATTCACCAGTTGGTAACCCTTAATTTTGCTATTTTAATAACTTCCTTACATGAACTNTCGTCTTTGATTTTTCATGGCTTGTGCGGTCCGAACCTGAAATTGCGCCCCAGTCCTAATATTGCGCTTATAAGTCTAGCCGAAAGGGTCTCATCAAAATGCATCAAGTGCGCCAAGAATTTTATATCGAGCGTTTTTTCAAACTATTACACGCAGTTAAGTAATTCACCAGTTGGTAACCCTTAATTTTGCTATTTTAATAACTTCCTTACATGAACTTTCGTCTTCTCTTATAACGCGGTCGTCAATGGGCATATCGTCTGGCTCGCTCCAACTCGGCGGTTGGCAATTAAAGGCGCGATGGCGGGACCCGTGCGGAATCGAAACCGTGGCAGTCGCGCTGCAGGGCTCCAATTCTTTTATATTTCCTAAGTGGCGTTTTTGAATGATTTTTTTATGTGAAATAATTTCCCCACTATTCCTGAATCACCAGTGCTTGAAAAGTTCGATCCTAGTCAGATTTGCGAAATATATTGTTTAAACATAACTTTACCGGACATTTATAGGATTGTAGATATTGTATAGGACGTTACGCAGGATGAAAATGGGCTTTTCAGGAGATGAAGGTCATGATTACATTCAAAGACCTAAGAACGAATAACAAGATTGTAGGATATCACAGTTTCGATATGGTGGCAGCTCTCGACAACCCACCGGAATAACCTGCTGCCGTTATGCCCAAGCCGAGAAAGGTGCACGAAGAGAGTATGGGATAATGAACCAGTCAGGGTATAAANTTTTTGAATGATTTTTTTATGTGAAATAATTTCCCCACTATTCCTGAATCACCAGTGCTTGGAAAGTTCGATCCTAGTCAGATTTGCGAAATGTATTGTTTAAACATAACTTTACCGGACGTTTATAGGATTGTAGATATTGTATAGGACGTTACCGCAGGATGAAAATGGGCTTTTCAGGAGATGAAGGTCATGATTACATCCAAAGACCTAAGAACGAATACGAAGATTGTAGGATATCACAGTTTCGATATGGTGGCAGCTCTCGACAACCCACCGGAATAACCTGCTGCCGCTATGCCCAAGCCGAGAAAGGTGCACGAAGAGAGTATGGGATAATGAACCAGTCAGGGTATAAAATTATTCATTTCCTATTTGTCTCCTTTCTTTATGACCGGCTTGACTTGCATTGTTTGCACTTAGAAAATTTACCGCATAAACTATACCTTGAAAAGTTAATGGGCGAGTTAACGTTGCAGCTATCTGGTTTTGTGGGTTACTCGATATGAGCCAAGCCACAATCCTCTGTCTCTAAGTACTAATGATAATATGGGCCAGCCATCTCAATAGATCAGCAGAACAACATGTTTTTTTGCAGACAGGACAATATAAATATGCATTCCTTCCACATCGAGTACGGGCACCGACCTCAGGGGAAGGAGCGAGTATCTGAGAATAGTTTGACACCGCCCGTTTTGGTGAAAATGTA